ACAAAGTATGGGATTGCTGGGTTCAACGAAGTACGGTGTGGCTTTATGCCACTGAGGCGTCACGCAAGCCGTGAAGGAGAACCCGGGTGACCCCGAAACGGGGCTCTGGTGAAACTGTGACAGGCCTAGCAAGTCGGAAGCGGATTATTGATGGCTAAAAACATAAATAGGTGAAATCAGGCGCTAGTCAAAATATTGAAATTGAAGATATTGACATTTTTCTGCCAGTTTGGTAATTATTTTAATTGAATTTTTGTTGTTTGGCTCAACACCATCGTTGTCCAATTAAGAACACATTTCTAGATGGATTATATTTTTTTTAAAGTTAATTAAAGGCACAAAAAATGTACGTTTTTAGTTTCCACGGACTATCATGCTGTGAAATAATCAAATTCTGGCCGCTATTTTCTCCCTAATTCTATCTTTGAAACCGGGCGACCCCACCTTCTTCGATCTCAAATATCTTGACTTCTATTCAAGACGGATGGGGAATTTTTTTTCACCTATAACAAGACAATTAAACAAGTTTTAAGATGATACCAATAGCTCCACATGACCAAAAATTGACGAGCGCCTGATTCCACCACGTCATGACACACATTGTTCAGTCTCATATGGGGATTTGGTTTACAATAATTGCTCTCCATAATGTCTATACATTTCTGTATCACCCAATCTCTGGAGACTCTTGGCGCTTTACAATAGAACAATAAATGAATGTCGACGATTAAACACAATGATACTACACGCTCTAGTGACATTGGCCCTATTAGTGTGCAAGAATCCTTTCAAATACATAAAATGCACCATTACTGTATAGATCTAGATCTATATATGTTCTGGCAAAAGAACACCCACGGTACAAAAAAACGGATCCTCACTGCGGCTGTAGAGTGCGCCTACTGTTGTTAAACGAATGATGAAAACTTGCTGGTAAATATGATTCAAAGAAATGTATCGTAGCCGGGGAATTAAAACAATGGACAAAATGTCAGTCAGAGCGAATTGCAAACGGGCAGAGGTCAACTCACATTTAATTTTGCGTCCATGTTTATTACCTCCTTGTCAGAGAGGGTGAGAAAAAAAGAGAGAGTGGGAGATCGAGAGAGAGAGAGAGAGAGAGAGAGAGAGAGAATGTGAGAGAGAGAGAGAGTGAGACTGTATGTGTGTGTGTGTGTGTGTGTGTGTGTGTGAGAGAGAGAGAGAGAGAGAGAGAGAGAGAGAGAGAGAATGTGAGAGAGAGTGAGACTGTATGCGTGTGTGTGTGTGTGTGTGAGAGAGAGAGAGAGAGAGAGAGAGAGAGAGAGAGAGAGAGAGAGAGGGAGAGAGAGAGAGAGAAGAGAGAGAGAGAAGGAGTAAGGGGAAAGGGAGGGGGGAATGTCCACCTACCCAACGCTGTGTCGTTGTAGTAGCCATAATTGCCCAGCTCGTTCACTGGTGCTTGAGTCTCCAGAAAGTCTACATAACCTTCCCAGGAGTGGATGGCCACGTCATGTGTCTGGGATACCAACTTGCTGAAGCCGGTGCTGCCAGAGGTGGTAAACACTTTGACCAAGTCGTCAGGCTCACAGGGTTCGAACACCGTGTCCAATTCGCAGCTTCTCAGTTCCTCCAGCAGGGTTTTCCTGTCTCAAGAAATGTTGATTAACTTTTTAGAAAGATATGTAACCTCCAGGAAACAATGTTTTAATAAGGTTTTACGCCGCTCGCAACTGCATAAGGTCATATGAGCACCAAGGGGTGGCTGTGAACAGAGAAGTCCAAAAGGGGAAACAGGCTTACTCTGCTCACCTCTCTAGCCTTATCAGCACAAGTCAGCTTCGACTATCAAGGCACCCCGAAAATAGGAGTTCAAAAGAGAGTGATAAACATACAAAAGAAATAGAGGAAAAATAACAATAGTAAGAATGAGGAAAGAAAAAGCAGCAGTTCCCCCTATGTTGTTCCTGCACAGTAGTATGAGCATTCAAAATTCTACTGTGCATAAGAACATGTTAATATCGCCCCTTTGGGAATGGCGTAGACACTTCAGTCAGTAGCACTGCCCTGGGGTGGGGAGGGGGGACAAGAAACAATGAAATACAAGTATTCAGTAGAATTTGTACAGGTACATCGCCCCTATCAACACTGGAAAGTTAAAGCAGGACCTTTGCGATTGGGTATGGAGGTTAACTTAGAGAGAAAAATGGCCATCAAAGTTTGGTGACTTCAAAAGCAGGAGAGTCCTTGGAAACTACAAAATTAACAAGTTTGTGCGTCTTTAATCCACGCTCTTCAGTAAATTCCGTGCGGAAATGAGTTTCTAAATGGATATCCATGTAAAAGGTGTCAAATAGAATATCTAAAAATCTCGATGAAAATTGCTATCAACGGATGTATGTCTATGTGATCTTATTTTTTCGATTTCATTATAATGACCAGTGCATGACTTGCACTCGATGTCACACACAATAATGTTCTAAAATGTGACACAAGTCAAGGACGCAGTGCCCACTTACGTATCTCCGTCTCTGAAGACATTAATGGCGGACGTCAGTTCAGGGGCGGAGTCAATGTTCAGATCTATGAATCGTTTGGAGCTGCTGGTCGCTCCTCCGTTGTAGGGCAGGAACAGTGTAGAAGCTGGGCCCTTGTCGTATATATCTGCCACAACAGCCCGACAGCGAGCTTTCTTGGCCACTTCGAAAAAGTCAGAGCCGTCTGCAAGGAGAAGCTGGAGACGGGGACAAAAAATGTTACTTGGAAAAACAATTCTAGACACATACGATAGCCTAATATTAACATTCGAACAGAGCTTAGTGTTGTGCGACAGGAGCAAAAGTTCTTTTATATTATTACCAAAAACACAATATTCCCAAACTTCCCCCCTCCCCCTCCTCCTTCCACGCCCTTTCTGAATGATTGTGCAGCAACACCCACCCACCCACCCCCTCCCCTGTCCCCAGAAAAAAATTGTGACTTGTAATACACTTAGTCAGATACCTTTGCAGGCTAAGGAAAACAAAGAAGAAAAAAAACAGCAACAACAACAAAACCTTGTTAAACCATCACTATTGTACGAGCTTGTTTGATTTCGTGTTTAAAGTACCATAATTGTCCTTTACAAACGAAGCTACGTCCAGTTCAAATACCAAATCAGTTGTCTTACCGGCGCGTTCATTGCGACACAGCCCGCTAATATAATGCCCACTTCAGTGACAACTCGCTCAGGGGAGTTCGGTAACGCGTTGGCGATGACGTCATGACGTTGGAAACCTTTCTGACGGAGCAGGGCGGCAAATTTCCCTCCCAATTGGAAGAGTTCTTTGGATGTGTACACGTCACGAATTCCGTGGTTGTAGAAGATGAAGAGTTCCCTGTCTGGGAAGTTGTTGGCCAGAAACTTGAGGCGTTTACACAGCGTGTCGTGATCCCGAATTCCGGAGATTGTGCTGCCCATGGTCAGTGGTCAGTTTAGGACACGCCACCAGAGAACTTCACCTGGCTTGTTTTATGAAGAAATAAAGTAAATATAAGCACTGCCAGGACTTGGATGTGCCCAGATTAGAAGAGTTGGCGAGGGAAGACAAAAATTGTATTGACTATTCTCTTTCATGTGTGCATGAAAATATAGGGGGAGAGAAAGTGGACGAAATGCAGTTATCCCTGCTCACAATGTGGAGGTAAAAATGGAACTTCAAACTGGGAATATAATTATCATTTTAAGCTGTAGAACAATTATTAGAATGAGATAAAAATTAGTGTGGGCCGAGATAAAAACGTTTTAAGGAAACAATTTGAAACATATTCTCTTGACAAACTGTTCAACGGTCATTTAAAAATATTTTTCTATCACTCTGCTCCAGTGTTTAAGTTTCAGTCTGTCTCTCATTCTCAGTTGAGCATACTGGTCAGCTTCCACGGCATTCATTTTCAAGCGGGTCATTCTCTGGGAGTCACTGAATTTCCGAATAAAAAAGGAAAATGTTTTGTGAGGTGCACCTAAAGTATTGTCCAAACTGTGCATGGAAACTTTCACAACAGTTTGTTGTTCTAGATGTCAAGTCTTCACTGGCCCAGAGCTCAGGGTGAAAGCACGAAGATGAAAAAACATAGCTGTGTGAAGCGGTAATCTGCAAATGCATATACTTTCTCGTTGTCGGGGCCGTTGCCATAGCACAGAAAGCGAAACAGTTCTCTAGCTCAGATTGTTTCAGGAAGCACACTCCAAAAGCGTACTCTAGCAACTTGCATATCTCTGAATCATGGTCTTAGAAGTGGGTTTTAAGTCCAATTTCTTTCTTTTTTTATCCAGCTTTGAGGCAAATGAAACACGTATGCCTTGATCTCTGTCTTTAAGAATATGTCTTTGAAGGCTGTGTACGCCGTCAATAATTCGAAATCCAAATGGATGGATGCAGAACTGAATACACGCCACTTTGTTTGCATTGAATTGTTAACAAATGAGAAGCAAGATCTTTTTGTATAAGCTCGATGTTTTGCACGACAGAATGCAGTAAAACAATGGCAGATAATGTCCATTTCACTCTTCGGTGACAGAGTAAAGCTGATGAAAGAAAGTAGGGCGGTACTGGAACGTTCCATCTCCGCAGCAGTCGGCTCCATTGCTGATGACTTTAAAATTATCTTGAAATGTTATGACTACTATTTCATCTTCACCAACAACCATATGTTTGGGGGGGATAGGGCATGTGTCGTTTTCAATCGCTGTCAAGACTTCTATTTTGTTTAGTTTAGTAAGGGTTTTACAGAGCTCACAACTACAAAAGGTCATATGAGCGCGCAAACGTAGTCTAAAACAGCCGTATGCACTGCTCACAGCCGAACGCTCCGTATCCCGGACTCTAGCATAGACATCATTAGGAGAGAATGCGTCGCTGTTTCGGGCTCTTCCTCTCTACAGCTATTCTGACGCACCGAGTCCCCTCACCGATGTGAGGTCTCCATTGTGGTCCGACTGTTTTCCTCTGCTGCCAACTCTTAGGATTCATTCCAGCCTG